TTGATTGTGAAAGTAGGCTTATAAAATACTTTCACCTTTCTTATGTTAGTAATTTACTACATTTAATTTTATTTTGCAAGTGAATAAAATATGCACACAGAAGTAGTCTGTCCATAGAGGAACCAAGAATATTGCAGTGGAGAGAACATTCTGTTATGGATATCAATGCCTTTCTATGTGTAATAATGGAGTTGGAGTTAGAGTTTACTTACATTCCACAGATCCTCCTTTGGATTAAACCAAAGGATATAGAACATGTCATAATACAAGTACAGAACTTATTTCAGATATAGGCATACCTAAAGCGTAAGAATTGTCAACAGAGTTAAGAGGTAATCTTTTAATGCAGGTTTGAATACTTTTATAACGTGATTTAAACTTTTAATTCAGGGTCGAAGATTATTAAATAACTTGATACCTGTATATTATACTCCTTTTTGATATCTGGTGAGGTTAATTTTTGCCATATGAAGGTCATATTTATGTCCTGTGTTTAAATTGTGTACATCTTTGTTTCTTTTAAATCTGACCAAGTTTTCTACCACAAATGATAGTAAGTGGAAGTATAGTACATTTCTGAAGTAATTTTCTACAAGACACTCTGCTTTTATAACCTGTCATTATTATAATTATTTTCTTTTGGATATAATATACGTTATTACTGTCTGTTGAATTTCCCCAGAAGATTAAGTGAAGTAAACTAATTTGAAAGTACCTGTTTTCATGAGTGACACAGCTGCCCTCATGGTGAAGCATGAAGAGCTTAGTTCAGGAATAATATATTTGATGTATTTCTTCCAATATAAGATATTGTCAATTTGTAAGCCAAGGAATTTGTTCACTTCTACTTCCTGAATTAATTTATTGTCAAAACCTGTATTTAAACTAGGATATGTCTTGTTTTAGTAGCAAATTTTATGTGGTTTGTTTTATGAAAAATTTAGTACCAATTTGTTTAGGTTGGCAAAGACTTGAGTCATGATATTTTGAAGATAGCCCAATTTTTGGATTTGTAATAAACATTGGACTTCATATTTTCCTGATATTACAGACTGTTACTTGTAAACTTGTGTATGCAGAATGTTATTTATCTATGTTTTTGAGCTTGATTTTCTCCTGCTCTTTTGAAATCTACATTTCACCTACAGCAGTGGTCAGGCTTATGCAAAGAACAAAGATCATTTGATAAGGCCAGATACTGGTATAGTGTGATAAAATATTTGTTTTACCTCAGCCTCAGTAAGTATATGTACAGTCTCCAAGCACATAATAGGAAGCCAGAGACCTAAAGTGCTACAGATCTCTTGAAAGAAAATGGAAGTTATGAAAGGTTTATGTTATCTGCTTAGGAAGGGTTCTGCAATACCACCCTTGGGACATCATATATATTATACAGATTAATATTATTCATCTCTGCAATTGGAAAGTAAGTTAATAGGACCAAATGTGATTACTACAAGAAGAATTAATTGTGTTGTTCAGGAAAAGTATGCTTCTTGATTTTAAGATTAACAAATTAGTGGAAGGTTACTGTCATTCCAGAATACAGGAAAGATCATGTTTTCCTGAAAAAAACTACAAAATATAAAGTCGGCATGGACAATGTGACAGTATTTCTTTCTAAATATGAGCACCAAATGCAGTATTGGACTACATAAAACATATGGAAGCAGCTTATATCTTAATTGCATCATGCTTGTGTTCCTCAATACAGTACTTTTATTTTCCGTCGTTACACAAGCTTATTGTTAAAATCATATAAAATTTCACATAAAATTGTTACATTTTAAAATTGACGACATGTTTCGATATACAATTCTATCATCGTCAGGTCTATCAAAATTAAAATTAAAATCTGGTGTATCTGTTGCTCTGCTTATATTGCTTATGTTTTATCCGTTTTTATTACATCTCCAGGCTTCTTTCATTTAATTTTGGAGACGCGTCTGGGTGCCTATATCTGCAAAATCAATTTTAATTTTCATATCGTGATTCTGGCTACCGACATAGGGGAAGCAGTTGGCAGAAGTGTCCACAACACACCATATTGTGAGTTTATGAGGACAGGAAAGTGGTATTTGGTAAGGTATTCTTTGTAGTGTGATCATATCATGCCTACTGCATGTACGTGTCCAGAAGAAACATTGTTCCATAAAAATTATTTAGAGGAATTGGTAGAAGAAATAACCACAGCAGGTAGAATGGACATTATTATGGAAATTCCAACATAATATTTTATTCCATAACCTTATTCACTGTGATCTTTGAGTATTCTAGACATATGTCAAGTGTATCCTTATTTAATCAAGAACTAAGATGGGAGACTGCAAAGGTAAGTTATTGTTTCATTAAATGAATTCCTATTGCTTTCAGATATGGAGAGGAAAACCTAATACAATGGGCTTAGTAATAACATGTGCTGGACAGACTGATGTAGTGGTCCAGTGCTTTATCATGAGCATGGGTCAAAAGTTGCTGTCCTGTGCACAGGATGGGAGCGTTAAGGTATGTGATAGATCACATTTGGCTGCAGGGATTTAAATCCCTATACTACATGGTTGCTGGGCAGAGTTTAATGGTTCAGTGGTATGCTACTGCAATACACATCCAGCTGGACATGCATGTATTTTGTTAAACTGTGCCAGTAAACATTAATGTAGGCCCATCCAATTAAAAATGTTTAATTTGAAATTCTGTGAGTATGATTATCTGGTCCATAAAGTTACTTTTACCCCTTAAGAAGTTTTCCATAAATGTTTATAAGTTGGTCTGTTTAGCTCAGTTAATTAAATGATACTTGTGTTTGAATTGTTACATAAAATAAGTTCTGTGTGTCATCAGAATATGAACACAGCAATGTCAGAATCCAAAACAGGGGATAAATTACTCTTGATGATTGGCCCTCTTGTTTGAAAATACATTGTTCTCAATATTGTAACTATGCAGTGAGAAAAATCAATATGTTCATTACAACATTCGGCACATTTGTTTCAGATCAGCAAACTAGCTGTCATGTAAACATTTCTTATTAGATTTACGCATTGGATTTACCATTCTGTCATAATAGTTTTCCAATTCTGTTAGTTACACAATAGTAAAATTCTGGTATGATGTCCTCACATGGCAAAAAGGAACACTTTGAATGTGGTATGTTCACATATCCTGTCGAGTTACAGTTATAGATAACCAATTGGGGAACCTGGTTCATCCGAGGTAGTAGATGTCTTGGCAGAAGCCAGTTATTTTGTTATGATGAGTATCAGACTTCTTCAGAAGAATCGTTTTACATACAGCTTGGTAGCAAATTTAACCAATATGCTGTGACAATCAACTTTAGTCAATTGTCTCCATTACATTATTGTGAAACACAGCTTTAGTCTACATCAAAGAAGCACAGTCCTCAAGGACTGCTTTATGGGGTTAGTTTAGTTACTCAGTTAGTATGTGGTGCCAGGATAACTAAGTCCATAAAGTGACTGGTTGTGGGGGAGATGATTCTTATTTATGACACAGGCAGGGGTTTTCTCTCTTTTCAGGCTAGTTTTGAGGCTCACCAAACCTTGTCCTTTTGGATAAATTCCTCAGCGAAATTCATGTATGTAACCTACAGAGAGACAGAATCTAAATAGCATATCAGTAATGTTAAATATAATAGGAAAACAATATGTTGCAATTACAGATAACTTCACTGTGTTATGTTTACAGACCAGATTACAAATATAAGAAATCAACAGAATACACACTTCCATAAAATAAGATGACTATAATACAAGATTTTGAATGTCATCTTTGTCTGTGAGACTTATGAATCCCATACAGGGAAGTAGCAGTAATAATTTTAATCACACTTTATTCATGTTTTATTGTAACCTATTTTGCATACCAAATGTAAAATTTTTAATAGCTAACACATACACATGACCCTGAGGATGGCAGAACTTATCTGAAACACGCTAGGTAATTTTATCTTGTATAACGTATTAGATGGTGATCAAAATGAAATGTAATTGTAAATGACTGATAAAATGGTAGAAAATGCCTAGTTTACATTTTTTCCCCACAGTTTTATTATAAATATTTATTCTCTTTTCTAACCTATATTTTCACCAAACAAAACACTGCTCCAGTTACAGCAGTCACAAAACAAATTGAATTTCAGTGACTGACACTAAGCTGCTATATCATATAGTTGCATGGTCCAACATTCATCAGTTACTATGCAAAACAGTCCCATAATTTAATACCTGAGGAAAAGAAGGCAACAATGCAAACATTCCTTGCTTGTTATAAACTGTATGTGTTGCATGATATATACATACAGGCTTGTCCCCAAAATTTGCTTAATCCATGCTGCTCAACAAGAAAAATGAGAGAATGCAGTTCTAATACTGTTGCCATATCATGTCATGAATTCTTCATGATCTCACTTTCTATACCAGGATTCACCTGTATTTTGGTTCACATTTAAATTTTGTAGAATATATACAGGTACTATTCACTGAACACATGAAATTACTTATGGGAAATATAACATAGCCGTAATGTCCCTGTGTTCAATTTTAGATATGGGACATTCTGACAGGACGTCTAATCGATGTCCTTGTGGGGCGCTATACTGATGTTCATGTCACCATGGCAGATTTGTCATCAAATGAGGATTTGCTCGTTCTCTGTGGTGCCAGTGGAAGTTTTCTTTTGATACGTTTTACAGTGTTGCCAGATGAACCATATGTGAAAGTCCAAGGCAATTATAATTACCAACTTCGAGACTCTCTTCGTAGCTGTAAATTGTCACATGATGCATGTTTACTAGCCTTGGGTCAAGATACTGGCAACATTGTTGTAAGTATACTTACATGTACTTAATACTGGCTGAAGAAAGTATTGTTTGTTTGTAGTTAAGAAGGCAACAAATAGGTAAAAGTTACAAACTTCTGGAAGTATTATTTGCATATTCATCTAGTTTTTATTCATACTTTAATAACATGAAATAGTAGCCTCTGTTTGTTATTATTTAAACAGGGTATACCATTTTTGTTTAAGACCTGTGCGAGACAGAACAGAAAGAAAATCATACAGTGGTGGTTAGTGATGTTAATTCAGGAGTTCTAGCTGGTATCTTACTATTGGACTATGTAGTGTTAGGGCAATTACAGAATCTATGTTTTAGGGGAGAAGGGCCATAGTGTACTATGTGATGAAGCACGTAGTTATGAAGTCATATTCAGCTTGAAATCTGATTAAACTTTCTTAATATTAAATGTAATTCATTCTACAGTTCTAATGAAAATATAATCTAAGATAAATTTTCCATGCACAGTGTTTGTGTCCCAAATCTTATTAACATTGACTAACAGAACCGTTCAGCAAGGAAAGATAAAAGTATATTTTAACAAAGATCATCATTAGCAAATACTGTTTTTTAGCAGACACAAGAATGGATTAAGAAAAAATAGGTGTAGAAGAAATCAAATGCAAGAAGCATACTATCTTTAACCATTTAATATTAAAATTTATTAGCTTTTGTATCTGTTAACCAACGGTAGCAACAGTGAGAAAAAAATTCTGCTTATTGTTATATTGCCATATTCCTATCAAGAATATTGGCAACTGATTTCTTACTAGTTGGTTTTCAATTGTATTCACATGTGACTGTGTTGATTTAGTTGTATGTTTTATGGTTCTAGATATGGGATGTCCAAACTAAAGTAATTCTGGATACTTTGAAACTTCACAAGACTGGGGTTCAAAATTTGCTGTTTTCACCTCCTGCCTCAGCTGCAGGGTCTAGTCTTGTATCACTTCCACCTATAATATTACTGAGCGTAGGTGATCAAATTGGATGGTGGGATGTTGGCCGGTTGACTATGATATCCTGTGGACAGCGACGAAAGATAAGTAGTGGTCAGCGAAGGAGGAAACAGAGTGGTGATTCTCCAAAGTTACCACTCAGGCCTGTTGATGATAGTTTTAATGGATGTGCAAGAACTGGATACTTGGCAGGTGATTGGTTAGGAAAAAGAGGACAAGAAGAGACATTATTGCTAGGTTGTGTGAAGCTTTTAGGACCAGAAGTTAAGAAAGTTTCAGCTTCCAGCAACTTTGCTGCATTTACTACAGTGGATGCAAGTGGAATTGTCTATCTCATGAAGATATTGCAATGATACTGCTATTAAATATGTTGGATTTTGAAACAGCTTACTCATACATTATATATCTGTGCACATGTGTTCATGTGTGTGAGTGTTATTATTGTGTTATTCTGTCCCCATATTTTTTTTATATCCTATGTGCCGTTTTAATAGAAATCTGATTTAAAGTGTGTCGTATAGAGAAACATTTCTCAACAGAATTTTATTATGTAGACTGTACACGTCTATTTTTTTCTCTCTCTCTCTCTGGGACTTAGTTTGGTATCTTTTAAGCTCCTAATGAATGTATCGTCAGTAAATAATTTTTAAAAGCAATAATTTATAGAGTTTCTTATTTCCATTGAGGCTTTCTAATGATATATATATGTATATATCATTTGATTACTGTATAATGTATAGTTTAAAGAACATATATTAGTATATATTACAAAACTATATGAGTATGTAGGATGATTCATTAAATACAAAAATTATATTTGCATTTGTTGATGGACAGGAGCATTTTATTTCAGCTACTAGAGTAACACCCATTAAAAATTAAGGGGAAATACTATATATTATAATATTCCTCCTGGAATACAGTATATTGTAGTATATTTCATCATAACGTTTACAAGAATAGTCACAAATTTTCCCAGTCATTACATTCAAAGAATATAATTTTTGATACATATGTTGTCATTACTCTTGGAATTTCAAAATACGCGCCATCAAGACTGTCCCCCGAGACTCGAACCATCGTGCATTCCGTATCGCCGGTCCGAAGCATGATGCCTCAGACCGCTTGGCTATGGTGCGGGACTCTATATATGTGTATATATGTGGATGTATGTATATATATATATATTCCTTCTGGAATAAAATATATTGTAATATATTTCTGTTTCATTGTGGTACAACAGGTATTTCTTAGTTGATTGCCTCAACACAACGATTGTTAATGTTACTACTTGCCAACTAAGAGAATTAGTGTTACAGTGTGGAAGATCAGCACATACAGTAAAACCCAAAGTAACATGTTTTACACTGCAAATAACACATAACATTTTCACAATGCATTCTTTTCTTATTTATGTTAGGAATCTCATATCTGTGTGTTGGTTACAGATACTTCAATTCTGAAACATTTTCAGGTGATTTGTTGCTTGTTTTATAGGGCTAGATTGCTCATGTATTTAGTTTTATCAGTATTTATTTTTAAATCAGTTTTTTGTTAGCCAGAGAACTTCTGCATTGTCAGTAAATAATTTTTAAAAAACAATAATTTATAGTCTTTCTTATTTCCATTGAGGCATTCCAATGATATTCATATATATTTTATTATTTGATTACTGTATAATGTATAGTTTAAAGAATACATAGTAGTATATGTTACAAAACTATGTGTGTAGGATGATTCATTAAATACAAAAAATATAATTGCATTTGTTGATGGACAGCAGCATTTTATTTCTGCTACTAGAGTAACACCCATTAAAAATTAGGGGAAAATACTATATATATAAAATTAAAAATTAAATCCTGTTGCATAACAGCTCCAGAGAGCCAAAGCCGACTAGCTTGACTGACTGCCGGCCTCACGTTCACATGCCTAAGCAGAGGTGAACGATCATCCAACCAGATATAGGGTGACGTGTGGTCATTGCTAGCTTTCCTGACCGGATTACGCTACCCATTGTAGCTCCCCAATTTCCTCACGATGCTGGGTTGGCACCGGTCCCATACACTGGTCGAAAGCTCATGAGAAAATTTCTCTTCCCCCGAGACTCGAACCATCGTGCATTCCGTATCGCCGGTCCGAAGCATGATGCCTCAGACCGCTTGGCTATGGTGCGGGACTCTATATATGTGTATATATGTGGATGTATGTATATATATATATATTCCTTCTGGAATAAAATATATTGTAATATATTTCTGTTTCATTGTGGTACAACAGGTATTTCTTAGTTGATTGCCTCAACACAACGATTGTTAATGTTACTACTTGCCAACTAAGAGAATTAGTGTTACAGTGTGGAAGATCAGCACATACAGTAAAACCCAAAGTAACATGTTTTACACTGCAAATAACACATAACATTTTCACAATGCATTCTTTTCTTATTTATGTTAGGAATCTCATATCTGTGTGTTGGTTACAGATACTTCAATTCTGAAACATTTTCAGGTGATTTGTTGCTTGTTTTATAGGGCTAGATTGCTCATGTATTTAGTTTTATCAGTATTTATTTTTAAATCAGTTTTTTGTTAGCCAGAGAACTTCTGCATTCATTAACAAGAATTTAGCACCTACAAGTTAAAATTAAACAACTTAATCTAATAATGTCTTCACATTGAAATATTTTAGAGCTGCATGTGGTTATTATTATTCAGTGTTTTGTCTTACGACAGGTCCATTGCTCTGCCCAAAAAGAGCTCTCCAGTTTTATATTTCCTATGTCAATTCCAAAAATCATGATTTGAAAATTAATTTTACAGATATAAACATTCAAGCATTAAAAGGAAGAAATCAAAACAGTCAAACGTATCAATATACGCGGAGCAGGATGTACAACAGCTTTTAAAACAGTTTTTAAATTGATTGACCTGATGATGGTGTAATACACCGAAACATGTCGTCAAATGTGAAATGTATCAAGATCTAATTCTAAAAAATGTTGTAATTTTATGTAATTTTAAGTAAATTTTAACAACATTTTAAGTTTGTGTATGGACGGTGAATAAATTATTATATTGATTAAACACAAACATGACGCAGTTAAGATATAAATCTTTTATGTATGTTCAACGCAGGGATTTTTGAATCCTCTGAAAGTCGTGTATAGCAATTCCAAGGCACCAGCATCAACAAAAAGTTCAACTCGATATATATCACAAACTCCAGATCGAATTCTTGATGCTCCTGACATTGTGGATGACTATTGTAAGTTGGTGTTGGTATTTATGTATCTTGTAAGAAATCAAATTCAGATGTTTGTAATGATTAAGCCCCTAAATGGGTCAATGGACAAGGTCTGAAAGCCCAACAATCAAGACTCAAACTTTAGGTTTAGAGTGGAACACAGGCCTCTTTCATGTGCCAAGCACAAGTGATTTGTTTTGACTATAACACTTCATGGTTGCCTCAAAGAGAAGTTTGAAAACAATTGACTTAGAGCAGGGAGAAGCTGGTAAATTTTTCTTCCCTCATCTCAATTACCTATGTAGTAATAAAGCAGACAGCTAATGCTTGTAATTGGTTCATAAATATGATGGAAGCAAGACCAAAGCCTTATCTATGAATGAACATTATTTTATTCTGAGTAATAGCATGATTTTGGTTTTTGAGAATAAATCGTATCGAAGTATCAAATGTTGAAGGTGTTCCAGCCTTTTGGCAGTCTTTTTCTGAAAGGTGACATTATACACTGCAGTTATGTTGCTTATTTTAATCCATTGATATTAGGTTATAATTCAAGGCCTTATATTTCTGGTTGAAGAGAATATTTTGAAAGTCAGGGTTTATATTGATTAATCTCTATGTGTCAATTAAGGGCATTTACACAAGATTGAAGGAGTTTCATTATTTCATGCAACTTATTTGAAGGAAACCCTTGGTGCCACTTATGGTGGTTTTAGTGGATACATTTATTTATAATATTACCATAACAAATCAGCACTTCAGTGCAGTTTATTTCAAGAAACCCTAGGCAATAATCTGGCGATTTTATCCACATAGTGAACATTTGTGCAATGCAGTTTTCATTATATTGTATGCACAAACCCTGT